ATCAATGTGTTAAATAGAAATTGAATTTTATTATCACTAAAGTTTATTTGTTAAATTAGGCTGTTAACACCAGATAAGTCATTTCTCATACAAATACAACATTTTCAGAAAGTTTTATTAGGGTTGTAGGACTCCAATATTAAAAATAATCAAAATCATTTCTGGTTTTAAACAAGTTAATATAATAATAACTTCTTAAAGATAGATAAAATTAGGTTATTACCATGCTAACTTCTCTAAAACCAGAAATGATTTTAATTATTTTTAATACTGGAGTCCTACAACCCTAATAAAACTTTCTATATATTTTCTTTTAGTTTATTCTTCGTAGTTTTATTTTTTTAAAAAGCACTTTAAACTGTAAAATTAAATTGATTTAAACAGCCAATCATACGAAAGCTTCGTATGGGGTACTTATTGAATCGAATCTGTCGAAATTAGACATTGGGCAAGATAATTATTACGTGAAATTAAATCATACTACGCGACAATTTGGTATGTTATTATAAATTATTAGTAATTTGTCACATAGTGTGATTTAATTTTACGTAATAAGTAATTATATACGTACGTACGTCAGAGACATAGAATTTATGCGATAAGAATTTATAAATGATGCGTACGGTATATATGAAATATTCGATTTACTAATAATTAAAAATTAAAAGTGTGATTTAATGTTTACTAAGCAATTTTATCTTGTAAAAAAAAAACGTGCAGTTTTTTAAATACAGTTTTTTAAATACTGCGCTCAACTAAACAAAAACTTATCTGTTTCTAATTATTTATTGTTTAAAAAAATACTTTTTAATAAAAATTTGTTACATATTGCGTTCAACTAAACAAAAATTTATCTGTTTCTGGTTTATTTATTGTTAATAAACCACTTTTTTTAATAAAAATTTTGTAAGTGTAACAGAATAATTAACATAAAAATAAAATTATTTATAGTTAACGATATTACCTTTTAAATCAAGTACTCATTGTTGTTCTTTTGAACTATTAAAAATAGCAAAATTCTTTTCTAATTTTGAAGACGAATTTATTTATAGTGTTTTAGCATATTATATAAATTAATATACTACTAGAATATCATAGTTTATTATATATTTTAAAATATTACGATACTAAAAATTTAAAACGAGTGCACATAATACTAACATAATATAAGTGAAGCAAAATTATGTGATTTAGTGTGATTTTGTTTAATCACACTAAATCACATAATTTCCGTGTCCCTAACGTATGTACCTTGTTACATCTCTAGCTAGAATGTATAATTTTAAAATTTTTGTGCTTTCTTGAAAACCATCATTGGTGCAGAGTTATCATACCAACACTTTAAAGTGAACCTTCAAATTGTTTCAGTGATGCAAGACTTATAAGATTATACTTTTCTCCATTAAATGCTGAAAATTTATTTTCTATTTTCGAGCCATTATTTGAGTACAAAAATTATACTATGAAAATTCACAATTCTGAGTAGCAATCATCTTTCTAAGCACAGATTATATAAATGAGAATAAAGTGTAAAATGAGTCTAATAAATTAAAGTTAGACTATCAATTAAAAAAAAATTATAAAAAAGATGATTAAATAGAACTAGCCTTTAACTTTAAGATTTTGTGTCTTAATCACAAAAAAAAAAGTCTGACCTTCAGCTTGGTAAAATTTTTTACAATCATAGCCATGGTAAATATTATGTGGAAACCAATTTAGATTGGAATCGTAAATGGCATAATGTTGTTTGGTCAGATGAGTCTATTTTTAACATTAAGCAGTTTTCAGCAAGTCATAATACACAAGTTTGGCATACCCCACTAAAGAATTTGATAATGCTAGTCTCATGCTTTGGACTTGCTTTTCATGGTATGGACTAGGGCCAATAGTTCCTATCTGTAGCAATGTAAATGGTGAAGCTTATGTTAGACTTTTAAGAGAGCATGCTATTCCTGCTATACAACGTCTAGTTCCTAACGGACCAGATATTTTTCAGCAAGACAGTGCTTCTCCACACCGTTATTGGAAAGCTAAAGAAGCTCTCAAACAAGCTGGTATTTCTATCCTACCTTGGCTTGCCCAAAGTCCAGATATGAATCCAATGGAAAACATGTGGCATGAAGTTGAAAGACGTTTGCATAATTCTCCGGATGAGCCTACAAGTATTGATGATTTAGAGGAA